TATATATATATATATATATATATATATATATAATGTAGGGACCTTTTCTTGATAACTCCCTAAATCGTAAAATCTTTGATAACAAGTGTATCATGTGCTATTTCATCTGTTTTTTTCATCGGTATAATTTATAAACGTAGTAATTAACATATATTTGTTTAAAAAAATATGTTTATTTTAAATGTACTCGGTTCATAATATCAGCGTGTTTGTAAAATAAAAAATACACACAAAAAGATTACATTATGCAACAAACACATCATGAAACAAATATATTTTAATCATTACATAAATATTATACCTAAAGGAAAAAATCATGTAAAATAACCTTTAAGGTAGAATTACCATGAATCGTACAAAAACTTTAATTCTCAATTTATTAAAGCCCCAATATAATATTTTTGTTATACATACACATGTATTTATTTATAGATTATAATATAACATGTTATTAATATAACTTATAATATGATATATATATATATATATTATTTATATTATATAACATTTATATATGTGTATGTATATACATTAATATAAATTATAAAATATTATATATTATTAAAAAAACTTTTTACAATAAAATAATTTAAACGACATTTAGAGTTGAATATGGTTATTTTAACAATTTTGTTATGTCATGTTTTAATCGTATAAAAACAATCGGTCTTGTACTGTTCGTTTTAGTTGTACAAAAAAAAAAAGTCTAGTATGTAACATATGCACCAAAATGCTATCTAACTAAACAAAATAGTATTTTACCGACGACTTGCGTGTTAGTATCATTGTCTCCAGACACGTCTCGAAGAAAATCCAGTCAAATTTGCTCCATGATAATTTTTTCTTTATCAAGGTTTATTTGATGAAGATCGTTCGTCAATTTTTATTTGGCTAATTTTCAATATTTGATTTTTGTGTTTTTATCGTTGTGTTATGGGTTGGATTTTGCTATATGAATTTGGTGCTCATTATTTGATACTTTTAAAAGTTTAGATATTTTATTCAAAATGTTTATACAGTAAAAAAAACTTAATTATGTATTTTAATCACAAGAGTGATGTCTGATTGGATTGAGCTTGACTCCAAATGTCAAAAGAACCAGGACGTCCCAGATTCAAATCCAAGGAGGAATAAAAATTCTCTTGTGGCCATGGAGGTTCAAATGACGTGACTCCGGGTTATCTGCAAAGCAGGTAGTCGTCTTGGAATTAGTCGGTTCGCATGGCGGGCGAATATCTAGGTTAATAAAAAAAACAAATATGAATTGAGTTGACGTTGTATTTAACGAACAAACAAGTAAAAGACAAACAAAAGGATGTGAAAGTGTCGCTCATATCGTAATAACTCAAATAATGCAGCTAAAATGTGATTTATTGAGTCGAAACTTATGAATGTTGAGCATTCAACAATGGGAATTTGTAGTATTGAGAGATTCCCATAAAGGTGGGTAATTATAAAAGACATATTAACAATATTTCAGTTGATACGGTAAAACTAAAGTAAAACCAACAAAATTGATACAAAGTCAAGTATAAGAGGATTAAATGTTAACATATCTTACCACTACCAAACTGGTCAACATTTCCGGCGGCCCTATCATTCGAAAATCCGTCGGAAAACAAAGTTTCCAACGGGTTTTCGAAGAATAGGTCGGCCTGAAAATGAAGCGCCAATAATCATTTTCCGGCGGATTTTTGGTTTTTTGGCGGAAAATGACCACCGAAAATTACCCAACTGTTTTTTCCCAATTTATTTAAAAACCAAAATTATTAACGAAATTAAAAAAATGAATTAAAATTACCGGCAGAAATCCGCCAATAACTTCATCCGTCGGAAATTTAATTTAATTTTTAAAATTATTATAGATGTTTTTGGTGAATACCCTCGTTTATGACTTTATTTTGCAAAAAACGGTATGCAACCAAAGGAGAATCGGAACAAATTAACATTTTCTAAATCTTTATTCAATAATAATATATAATCAGTTATAAAATACGTAAATTATAAACATTTCACCACATATTATTAAAGCTTCTTAAAATTAAAGTTGACAACTTATTATTGCTTACATATAACCTTTTAAAGTTGCAGCATTAACCTTGATACGACTGACTAATAATCATTCGATACACATTCAAATATAAAATGTTTGGGTCATACTAATTCATATATTTTATATTTGATATTTTAATAAAGAATTTATGTATTCTGAAATTATAATATAATTTTAATAATGTATCTGTACGATATAACTGGATGTAAAACTGTATTGCTAACAAATAATAAGAAGTTAATAAAAAAATTCATTAAAAGAATTGAAATTGAAAATTATGTTTGAAAGACAAGGCCACATTTGGATGAATATGTGTTGCTATTTCAAAGATCCTGTAATTCAAAATGAATATATTATGTGTCAAATTAAAAATTATAAATTTATAATAATTTAAACTTTAATTTTAATTAAAATATTATAAATTTAAAATTAAAGACGATTTATTTTAGTTTCTTATTTTGAACAAATATAATGATAGATATTAAGGCTATGTTTGGTAAACTAACTGTTAAATTAGCTGGTAGTTGATGACTAATAAGTTAGCTGAAGAACTAAATATGTTTGGCGCAAACTAGTTGATAAGGTAGTTAAAAATGTAAAATAACTAAAAATGATATGCTTAATAACTAATAAATTTTAACATTCATAATATATTTAAAACAATTCACTAATAATACAATATGTTAAAAAAAAATAATGAAATATGTTAATTAATAGATTTCAATTTAATTTATTATTATTTTATATATAATGTTAAAAAAATTGAATTTATATAACCAAAAACAATTTTTATTAGGACTA